GCCGCCCCGCTCTCCGCCGCCCCGCTCTCCGCCGCCCCGCTCTCCGCTCTCCGCCGCCCCGCTCTCTGCCGCCCCGCTCTCCGCCGCCCCCGCTCTCCGCTCTCGCCGCCCCGCTCTCCGCCGCCCCGCTCTCCGCTCTCCGCCGCCCCGCTCTCCGCTCTCCGCCGCCCCGCTCTCCGCCGCCCCGCTCTCCGCCGCCCCGCTCTGCGCCGCCCCGCTCTCCGCTCTCCGCCGCCCCGCTCTCCGCCGCCCCGCTCTCCGCCGCCCCGCTCCGCTCTGCGCCACGTTAATCAGGCTGCGGTTCCGAACAGAGGCCGTCTGATGAGCGAGGAGTTTCATCCTGGAGGTTTTCCTGCAGTTTGGACACAGAGCTGGCTGGAGTTAACGGCTGCCTCTGACAGCTCTGGTTTCACTAATAAGCTCTGAGTATTTAGGAGGGCGGATGTTATGGATACAGAAAGAGACCAAACACTGACAGATTGTTTCAGGCTAAAGGTCAAAGGTCAATCCAGCGCTGAAGCTCAGTTTGACTTCTCAGACTAATAAAATATTAGCTGCAGTTCTCTAAACTCGCTCTCCTCGGCCAGCCTCGCTGTTTCTGCAGTTTACGGCCGACTGTAACTGCAGCAGAGTTTCTGCCAGTGTCTATTTTCTCAGAGTCGTTTCCTGACCTGTTCAAATCTGACGGGTCATTCCTTTAAAACTCGAACAGCAATAAATATGTTGGAGCAGTAAATCTAGTAATTGGCTTTCTGGGCTTTGACTGGTCCACAGCTGGTTTCTCTGATGGGCCTCTGATGCATCAGGGAACCAAAACACAAACTCTGTGGTCAAACGCTGGAGGACGGACCAGAACCCGATGGTCAGGTTAGTGTTTGATGGCAGCAGGAAGTGAGGAAGATGCTACTTCCTGCTGCGCCGTTCACGGCTCTGTGACGATCTGATCTGAGCCGACTCACACACACACACACACACACACAACACACACACAACACACACACACACACACACACACACACACACACACACACACAGACATAAAATAATAAATTATTTGAATTTCTTTCTTAGACAGGAGCCCAGTTCCTCCATTATTATTATTATTATCATCATCATCATCATCGTCGTCACAGTTCTGATTACAGACACTCTCAGTGATTCTTGGATCCTCAAAGGAAGCGGATCCAAGTGGAAAACCATTTGGACGACCCATCTATATAATCTGCATCAGAGGAAACCTCAGGCCCTCAGTTTGCATAAAACTGCAAAACTGACTGCAGTCTGTGTGTGTGTCTGTCTGTGTGTGTGTGTGTCTGTCTGTGTGTGTCTGTCTGTCTGTCTGTGTGTGTCTGTCTGTGTGTGTCTGTGTGTGTCTGTCTGTGTGTGTGTCTGTCTGTGTGTGTCTGTGTGTGTGTGTCTGTCTGTGTGTCTGTCTGTGTGTGTCTGTCTGTGTGTGTGTGTCTGTGTGTGTGTCTGTGTGTGTGTGTGTGTGTGTGTGTGTGTGTGTGTGTGTGTGTGTGTGTCTGTGTGTCTGTGTGTGTGTGTGTGTGTGTCTGTCTGTGTGTGTGTCTGTCTGTGTGTGTCTGTGTGTGTGTGTCTGTCTGTGTGTGTGTCTGTCTGTGTGTGTGTCTGTGTGTGTGTGTGTGTATGTGTGTGTCTGTGTGTGTGTGTGTGTGTCTGTGTGTGTGTCTGTGTGTGTGTGTGTGTGTGTGTGTGTCTGTGTGTCTGTGTGTGTGTGTGTGTGTCTGTGTGTGTGTGTGTGTGTGTCTGTGTGTGTGTGTGTCTGTGTGTGTGTGTGTGTGTGTGTGTGTGTGTGTCTGTGTGTCTGTGTGTGTGTGTGTGTGTCTGTGTGTGTGTGTGTGTCTGTGTGTCTGTGTGTGTGTGTGTCTGTGTGTGTGTGTGTCTGTGTGTGTGTGTGTGTGTTGTGTGTGTGTGTGTGTGTGTGTGTGTGTGTGTGTGTGTCTGTGTGTGTGTGTGTCTGTGTGTGTGTGTGTGTGTATGTGTGTGTGTGTGTGTGTGTGTGTGTGTGTGTGTGTGTGTGTGTGTCTGTGTGTGTGTGTGTGTCTGTGTGTCTGTGTGTGTGTGTGTGTGTGTGTGTGTCTGTGTGTCTGTGTGTGTGGTGTGTGTCTGTGTGTGTGTGTGTGTGTGTGTGTGTGTGTCTGTGTGTGTGTGTGTGTGTATGTGTGTGTGTGTGTGTGTGTGTGTGTGTGTTCTGGTTTCTGGTCTAAGTCAGGTTGACCATTCCACAAGTTTTAATGTCTCCAGATTGGAAGGTTTGTTTTGGATCTTGTTTCTGCCGGCGCTGCTCCATCCACAGCCAGAAAATTAAGACCATGTGTCTTCCTCCTCATCTTCATCCTCCTCATCTTCATCCTCCTCATCTTCATCCTCCTCATCTTCATCCTCCTCATCTTCATCCTTGCTCGCCTTCACATCTCTTCAAACTGGGATATAATTAATTTCTTACCAACAATTTATGGTTCAGTTTCGACTCAAAGTATCTCAGTTCATTTGAAATGAAACGAAGCAACAAACGTCAATAATTCATTAATATTGATAAAGTTCTAGATCCAACAGCAGATTGTTTCATTACTGACTTAAAGCAAATTTTGGTTTCTGGCTGAAATGTTACTTGTACTTTAGTTTTGTCTTATTTAAAGTGAGCTAAGAAACGTTGACTAGAAACAGGGCCATTCGGGGCCCAGGGGCCTGACTGGCCCCCGAATGGCCCTGACTGGCCCCTGGCCCCCGAATGGCCCTGACTGGCCCCGAATGGCCCTGACTGGCCCCAAATGGCCCTGACTGGCCCGAATGGCCCTGACTGGCCCTGGCCCCCGAATGGCCCTGACTGGCCCCGAATGGCCCTGACTGGCCCCTGGCCCCCGAATGGCCCTGACTGGCCCCTGGCCCCCGAATGGCCCTGACTGGCCCCTGGCCCCCGAATGGCCCTGACTGGCCCCAAATGGCCCTGACTGGCCCCAAATGGCCCTGACTGGCCCCTGGGCCCCGAATGGCCCTGACTGGCCCCCGAATGGCCCTGACTGGCCCCAAATGGCCCTGACTGGCCCCTGGGCCCCGAATGACCCTGACTGGCCCCCGAATGGCCCTGACTGGCCCCGAATGGCCCTGACTGGCCCCTGGCCCCCGAATGGCCCTGACTGGCCCCTGGGCCCCGAATGACCCTGACTGGCCCCCGAATGACCCTGACTGGCCCCGAATGGCCCTGACTGGCCCTTCGGGGCCAGCAACTGGTCAGCAACGGTGCAGACACAGTGAAGTCAACGACTTCCTTCCAGCTGAGCGCCAGCAGACGGCAGCTCAACCAAAGCTTTGTTTATCTGGACACTTCAGAAAGACGCTCACACAGAGGTCCGGTCGACTCGGCTCTACTGGAACCAGAACCTCATCATCTGATTCGTCTCCAGCTGCTGGGTCTCACTGAGTCAAACCAACCAGAGCGACCGGGCTCGCCCCGCTCCGTCTGTGGGAGCAGCAGATAAACTGATGTTTCACAGGGAAACTGCAGACACTGAAACCTCCCAGCTCTCCGTTCTGATAGTAACATCTGTCACATTTCCAGCAGAAACAGGACATGGGGAACAACTTGGAGCATTTATTGTGATTTCAATCTTCATAGATCTGATAAAAAACATTATTTTCTGGTTGAAGGAAAGGCTTTAGGAGAACTAATGTTCTCCAGAAGACGTGCGAACAGAAACCATCCTGCTGCTTGGTTTTCATTCCCATTTGAAAATGGTTGCACATTTTTCTGATGCTTTCCCTCCAATATCTGAGATGTAACAACATTAAAACACCAAACTGTCAAATGATTGGCACTTAGTAATAAGTAACATAATCAAATAACACATTTCAAAATATCTGAAACGTCTCATTCAACTACTTTTTTTGGGTGATGCTAGTTGTGCTAGTGCTAGCTTTTACAAACATCTAAACAAAATCAAATATATTTTTCTTCTGTGACACTAAGCACCAATTTTACTAGGATCTCAAGAACCTCTAACTTTTGACTACAGAACTAACACTTCCCCTCTGAAGCTAGCTCTGCTGCTACGCTAGCAGTGGCTTGTTTAAAAACTCATGGAAAGCAGGTTGGCTTTCTCTTTCCTTTTCTTTCTTCCTGCCATTTTCCAGTTGCAGAGAAAGGATTTAGTTGAATCAGTGATTCATCTTAACGTTGAGTGTATTTATCTTTTACTTCCTGCAGTAGCCATGCTACCACTAGCATGCACCATCCCCTCCTGTCCAGTAGATGTCTCTAATTCACGGTTTGTTTGTTCCCTTGTTCCTCCGGAAGCAGATGATGATGAGCTGCTAATTGAACCCAGCAGGGGGCTGTCAGTCACCGGTCTGCATGACTGGCCTCTGGACCGGACCGGAGCAGTAACATTGATCCACCGTCTCTCTGACTGGCTGTAGTTCTCCCGGATCATTTTTTGAACAGATTATATTGTTTTTATGATTCTGCGCGTCTGTCTCCCATTGCCTACAAGCGGGGCGTGACAGTAAAACACCAACATGTCAATGAGGTTTGGTTTGTATTACATCTACAATCACAATGAAGAACATGTCAGTTTTTCACCCTTTCCATATTTTTCCGTTTCATGAAGGCAGTTTCTATCTTTAGCATTTAAATTTCCTGGAGCTAGCATGCTAGCTTCTGGATGAAGAAGAACTCGACATGTTTCAGTTTTGTATTTCTGTCCTGTTGTGTCTCAGCTCACATTTACAGCCTGTGTTTTGTTCAGCTTCATGGTGAAGCTTCACCACCAGGCGAGCCGCTTCAGGAGCCGTAGTTTCTCACAGGGAGCCATGTTTAAAGCATCACCTTTAAATAATGCCTGACGTATCATATGTGAGACATGAACGCATGAATTTTCAGCCAGTCATTTCATGGTGTGGGCCACAAAGGGTACATCCTGCAGCTTTGATTTGCTCCCACGTCTCACTGCCTGTGTGTCTGAAAACGTGATGAAGCTCGGTCAGCGCGCCGGGGGGCTGCGGGCTGCAGGCTGCGGGCTGGGGGCTGCAGGCTGCGGGCTGGGGGCTGCAGGCTGGGGGCTGCGGGCTGGGGGCTCGGGGCTGCAGGCTGGGGGCTCGGGGCTGCAGGCTGGGGGCTCGGGGCTGCAGGCTGGGGGCTGCAGGCTGGGGGCTCGGGGCTGCGGGCTGGGGGCTGCAGGCTGGGGGCTGCAGGCTGGGGGCTCGGGGCTGCAGGCTGGGGGCTGCAGGCTGGGGGCTGCGGGCTGCAGGCTCGGGGCTGCAGGCTGGGGGCTCGGGGCTGCGGGCTGGGGGCTGCAGGCTGGGGGCTGCAGGCTGGGGGCTCGGGGCTGCAGGCTGGGGGCTGCAGGCTGCGGGCTGCAGGCTCGGGGCTGCAGGCTGGGGGCTCGGGGCTGCAGGCTGGGGGCTGCAGGCTGCGGGCTGCAGGCTCGGGGCTGCAGGCTGGGGGCTCGGGGCTGCAGGCTGGGGGCTGCGGCTGGGGGCTGCAGGCTGGGGGCTGCAGGCTGGGGGCTGCGGGCTGCAGGCTGCGGGCTGCGGGCTGCAGGCTGCGGGCTGCAGGCTCGGGGCTGCAGGCTGGGGGCTCGGGGCTGGGGGCTGCAGGCTGGGCTGCAGGCTGGGGGCTCGGGGCTGGGGGCTGCAGGCTGGGGGCTGCAGGCTGGGGGCTGCGGGCTGGGCGGCTGGGGGCCGACGCTGCGGCCCTGATAACGGCCTGAAGAGTCACATCGCAGAAACACGCGCCTTGATGAGTCGGCCTGTTCTGGCAGCTGCAGACGATCAGAGATCACAGCAGCTGCAGCTCCAGACACACAGGGAGGTGTCAGCACTTCTGATGAGACACTTCGCTGTTAAAAGCTGCTGGATTCAAGCTCACATTGATATAGTTTACTTTTATCAAGTAAAATGTCAGTTTTTATTAGTTTGGACTCTATTAAAGTTTATTAGTCCATTTGATAAATCATAAATTAACTGGATAAAATATACAACAAACTTTTACAAAGACAAAATCTTAGCAAGTATTTCTGGCTGAGTTATAGTGGAAATGTCTTTATAGACTTGAAATAAGAAACTTAATTTTCATCAAAATAAAATATGTGGTAAGATTTAGTGTTTTGACAGAGTCGATGTCACTCAGGGTGACTAGTCGATACAGAGCTTCAATGCAGTCTGGAAAAGTCTGGAAATGTACGTTTGTTCAGGTCATTTTCCAGGCGTGGCTCAAATAACATCAGTAACATTTTCCAACAGAAAATTTTTATCCAATGTAAAGAGAAGGAAAAACCTTCATAGACATATGTTCAGACTGAAATATCTGTTATTCATAACCATCTGGTGAAGAAGGAAGTTGCTCTCAGCGTCTTCAGAGGTTTTAGTGTCGTTTCCTTCAGTGGTTCTTGGTGCAGCGCCCCCACAGGCCAGGACGGGAACAGGCTGCTCAGAGGGTTTGGTTGGTTCCACCAGACCATCAGGAGGAAAACATCCTGAGGGTTACCGTTTTAAAACTTTGTATTGTCATAAGATCCTGCAGAGTGAATTAATCAGATTTAATCCTGCTGAGTTTCTCATATTGTTGCTGTCAAGCAGCAACGGCTCCTCTGGCTGTTTGCTTTGACGGATGAATTATCCTGTCAGCTTTGATCTCCTGACATCAGGAGTCTGATTGGAAGATCGAGCTGTGAGCAGCGACGCTCCGAAAGTTTCATCTGATCTTCAGACCCCAGACAAACATCGGCGTCAGAAAACCACAGCCTGCTAGAAACGGGCAAGTTGTCACAAAACAGGCAGAAACTAATCTACCAGGAAAACCCAAAGTACAGAAAATACAAACAAAAGTCATCAACAGGCTTCAAATAACTGTTTTTACATAAACATTTTTCTCATTGAATATGGGGTTTGCTGGCAAAAGCTTTCCATATGATTCATTATTCATGAACTACTTTGAATGACTGCGGCTCCACGTTATTTAACCTTCTACACAAGAAACTCAAGTTTCAAATCAGGAATCATCTGATCTAAATTATCAGCTTCGTTTGAGACGCTCTTTTTAAATTCACTTTGTAATTCTAATGTCTGTCACTCATTCTTGTCTGGTAATGCAATCAAGCATTTCTGATTCTGAGTAATGTTCTTTTTTTAGTGGCACTCACCCATATGCTTTTTCATATCTTCATTTGAAATTGTCTGACATTTGCAGAAACATTTTATGTGCGACAACAAAAACAAAACCAGACGATTTCTGCAGATTGTAGCGAGAAACGTAATAAAACGAGAGCAACAGGCAGCAATCAGCAGAGCGGGACAAACGACTCGGGACAAACGACTCGGGACAAATGACTCGGGACAAACGACTCGGGACAAATGACTCGGGACAAATGACTCGGGACAAACTTCTTGGGACAAATGTCTCGGGACAAACTTCTTGGGACAAATGACTCGGGACAAACGACTCGGGACAAACGTCTCGGGACAAACGACTCGGGACAAACGACTCGGGACAAACGACTCGGGACAAACGTCTCGGGACAAACGACTCGGGACAAACGACTCGGGACAAACGTCTCGGGACAAACGACTCGGGACAAACGACTCGGGACAAACGTCTCGGGACAAATGTCTCGGGACAAATGTCTCGGGACAAAGACTCGGGACAAACGACTCGGGACAAACGACTCGGGACAAACGACTCGGGACAAATGTCTCGGGACAAAGACTCGGGACAAACGACTCGGGACAAACGTCTCGGGACAAACGTCTCGGGACAAATGTCTCGGGACAAAGACTCGGACAAACGACTCGGGACAAACGACTCGGGACAAACGACTCGGGACAAACTTCTTGGGACAAACGACTCGGGACAAACGACTCGGGACAAACGACTCGGGACAAACGACTCGGGACAAACGTCTCGGGACAAACGACTCGGGACAAAGACTCGGGACAAACGTCTCGGGACAAACGACTCGGGACAAACGACTCGGGACAAACGACTCGGGACAAACGTCTCGGGACAAACGACTCGGGACAAAGATCTCATCTGACTCGATTTATTTCCTCCTGAACAGAAACAAGCAGGACGCCGAGCGAACTCACATCTTCACCAAAAACAAACAAGTTTAATGGCACAAAATAACTCAGATGGTGCAACAGCAGAGAATAAATGTTGGTTTTTCCATGAGCAGCGCGTCTTTTCTCCATGTGTGGCTGCAGACCAAATGCTTGTGGCCGTCTGCTGAGTGTTTGTGCTGATTCATAACCGACTCATTCAACTCAACAAATTGTCTTTGTTTTACAGCTTAATGTGTGTGTAATATCCAGCCTGCAATTAAAATGACTCTGGATTCCCCCAAACCATGCTCAATAGTTATGCAGCACAAAACAGTAGTTAGACTGTTAATAATGTTTAGTAGTATAGTTTCCAGAAAGGCCAAAGCTAACGGCGCTAAGATAAGGCACCAATTATTACACATTAATATACACAGCGCTAATGACAAAACAGAAGTGACTCTGGAAACTTCCTGCTGTTTTCCATGCAGACATGAAAGGAAGTTGATCGTCTTCACACAAAGGAAATGTGGAATAAAAAGATGGAGCCACAGAAAACAGAGGGAAATAAAAATGACATTCGCTTATACTTGATTCATTTTTGCTAAAATCCAGTTTTGTTTTTTATGGTCATTCAAATGACGAATTAAACTGTAATCAGGTACCAGATTATGACACAAAGAAGAAGAAGCAGAAAAAGAAGAAGCCGTCATGCGGCAACATGACATCAACATCTATTATTATTTTAAAGAATAATAATAGAAACGTACACTTTATTGTAAATTACTTTAACAGCTGGTATACAGATGGAAACAAGTATTTTATTACCTTTTGTTTCATCAACAATGGATGAAAAATTGAGAAGGTGGGGATAAGCAGTCTATAGAAGGACTGCAGCACAGACTGACTGATGGGAAAGCTGCCATTTTGAGCTGTGCAAGGAGACCTAATAAACCGGCTTTGATTATTGTACAGCCAAGTTTGCTGATTTTTTTCCTTCCACACCTCTCAGTGTGACACGTCTGACTTCTTCTGGTGCAGAAAATTAGCTGCGTTTCCATCAACCACATAATTACACTAAATGGAAAATAAGCTTAATAGAAATTTACAAAACAAAAATCACTTTCCAATAAAAATTTTACTAAAGACACTAACACCTTCAGGACATGGACATAGACTGAGCAAGCTGACGGTGTTCAGGTGGGGTTGGACAAAAACACTGGAGCACAATAACAACAAGGTAAGATCCAGGAGCCAGAGTTTGTATTCACATTCTTATAGTCAGTTCAGTTCATTTAAAATGACCCTGAGGAATAATCTGTGTGAACATTTCTACATTCGCTGCATGTGCTTCCTGTAGAAACCCTAACCCTACTGCTTCCTGTAGAAACCCTAACCCTACTGCTTCCTGTAGAAACCCTAACCCTAACCCTACTGCTTCCTGTTCCACATTCTCCAAGCTCACAAAGCATGTACACGTTTTAGGTTTATAGCCCGTCCCCTATAGCCCGTCCACCATAGCCCGTCCACCACCCCGTCCCCTATAGCCCGTCCACTATAGCCCGTCCACCACCCCGTCCACTATAGCCCGTCCACTATAGCCCGTCCACTATAGCCCGTCCACTATAGCCCGTCCACCACCCCGTCCACTATTGCCCGTCCACCACCCGTCCACTATAGCCCGTCCACCACCCCGTCCCCTATAGCCCGTCCACTATAGCCCGTCCACTATAGCCCGTCCCCTATAGCCCGTCCACTATAGCCCGTCCCCTATAGCCCGTCCCCTATAGCCCGTCCACTATAGCCCGTCCCCTATAGCCCGTCCACTATAGCCCGTCCACCACCCGTCCACTATAGCCCGTCCACCACCCCGTCCCCTATAGCCCATCCACCACCCCGTCCCCTATAGCCCGTCCACCATAGCCCGTCCACCACCCCGTCCACTATTGCCCGTCCACCACCCCGTCCACTATAGCCCGTCCACTATAGCCCGTCCACCATAGCCCGTCCACTATAGCCCGTCCACCACCCCGTCCCCTATAGCCCGTCCACTATAGCCCGTCCACTATAGCCCGTCCACTATAGCCCGTCCACCACCCCGTCCACTATTGCCCGTCCACTATAGCCCGTCCACTATTGCCCGTCCACTATAGCCCGTCCACCACCCCGTCCACTATAGCCCGTCCACTATAGCCCGTCCACCACCCCGTCCACTATTGCCCGTCCACCACCCCGTCCACTATTGCCCGTCCACTATAGCCCGTCCACTATTGCCCGTCCACTATAGCCCGTCCACTATAGCCCGTCCACTATAGCCCGTCCACTATAGCCCGTCCCCTATAGCCCGTCCACTATAGCCCGTCCCCTATAGCCCGTCCACTATAGCCCGTCCCCTATAGCCCGTCCACTATAGCCCGTCCCCTATAGCCCGTCCACTATAGCCCGTCCACCACCCCGTCCACTATAGCCCGTCCACTATAGCCCGTCCACTATAGCCCGTCCCCTATAGCCCGTCCACTATAGCCCGTCCCCTATAGCCCGTCCACTATAGCCCGTCCCCTATAGCCCGTCCACTATAGCCCGTCCCCTATAGCCCGTCCACTATAGCCCGTCCCCTATAGCCCGTCCACTATAGCCCGTCCACCACCCCGTCCCCTATAGCCCGTCCCCTATAGCCCGTCCCCTATAGCCCGTCCACTATAGCCCGTCCCCTATAGCCCGTCCACTATAGCCCGTCCACCACCCCGTCCACTATAGCCCGTCCACCACCCCGTCCCCTATAGCCCGTCCACCACCCCGTCCACTATAGCCCGTCCACTATAGCCCGTCCCCTATTGCCCGTCCACCACCCCGTCCCTATAGCCCGTCCCCTATAGCCCATCCACCACCCCGTCCCTATAGCCCGTCCACTATAGCCCGTCCCTATTGCCCGTCCACCACCCCGTCCCCTATAGCCCGTCCACCCACCCCGTCCACTATAGCCCGTCCCCTATTGCCCGTCCACCACCCGTCCACCATAGCCCGTCCACCACCCCGTCCCCTATAGCCCGTCCCCTATAGCCCGTCCACTATAGCCCGTCCACCACCCCGTCCCTATAGCCCGTCCCCTATAGCCCTCCACTATAGCCCGTCCACCACCCCGTCCACTATAGCCCGTCCCCTATAGCCCGTCCCCTATAGCCCGTCCACCATAGCCCGTCCCCTATTGCCCGTCCACCACCCCGTCCACTATAGCCCGTCCACTATAGCCCGTCCCCTATTGCCCGTCCACCACCCCGTCCCCTATAGCCCGTCCACCACCCCGTCCACTATAGCCCGTCCCCTATGCCCGTCCACCACCCCGTCCATAGCCCGTCCACCACCCCGTCCAGCAGCTGTACAAATGGAACTCATCTCAGATGAGCCGATGAACGGTGGGCTTCTTGCTGCACCTGGTGCGTAGAGTGGGAGGTGGGACTCATCCCACCACATGACACAAGACTTACAAATTAAAATGTGTTGCATATTATTTTTCTGCAGAACTGCTTCATCCAGGAGGATTTCCCTCCTTATCAGTCACATCGCTGTGCTGTTTAATGAACTGAAGTATAAAATGTGCCAGCCTGGATCCAGGAGGGCTGCGTCTGCCTCAGAGCCATTTCACAGGAAATTAGTGGACATAATGGCCCCCAGGAGCTCACAGTGGGCGTTGCCTCGTACTGAACAACGCGCTTCACTATGGTTCATATAAAATAATATGTAAACACCCCCATAATGACCGACTGATCCTGGTCTATCAGTTACTTAAATAATCATTCTTAGTGATCAATTGATCATAGAATTCATAAAAAATGCAGGAGCATATAAATTAAGCCAAAATTTAAGATTTAATGCCAATATTTTATCAGATTATTCATTAGAATGATTAATCACATTTTATTTGTAATAGCACATTTCAGCAAGAAGGCATTTCGAAGAGCTTTACATCATAACAAACACAAAAACACAAAGTCATGCAACATGGAATAAACAATACATTAATTAAAGTTCCATCATTACTTTTTTTATTGATTTTGTTTCAAATAAAACTCTAAAAAGGTGAATTTTAGTTGAGATTTAAAGGAAGTCGG